TTATTATAATTATTATTGTTATTATACAAGGAAGAGTTTCAGACCTCATGGTCTTAGTAACTCAAAGCAGCCAAAAAATGTCAGATAGAACTTTGTAATTCTGAGATAGCCAATTGACGGAGACATGCTGGTCACTACACAAAGACCAGAACGCAGCTCACCCGATAAGCTTTATGCACCGCCATCAGACAGGACAGTCCCATGGTGCCCTGAGCTCGGCTGAAAAATCGCTGCTCTGTGGTGGTCAGATTGTGTGGGGTTGCCTTTGGCTGAGGATGTTAAATGAGAACAAGTAGACACACCCAGAGACTTTTTGCACCACCTGTGACCTGTGTCTCACAACTATAATTCCTTTTTGTCTTAGTCACCATCAACATGCAGTGGAAAACTGATATAACAGGGATGGTGGGAGTAGAAAAAATTTCCTGTTATATCCGATCCCTGTTAAATCAGAAATGTAAGGAAAGTAAGCATTTGTGGACTAATCCAGCTGTACTTATTCATGGGTAGTTTCCTCTGCCACAAGTACCCACGAACAGAGGTTTTGGCACCAACTTTCTCCTTGCCTCCTTAAACTTAAACCACATCAGAAGAGCTTGGTCCATAGTATCTGCATCGGGTAGTCTCATCTTCTTTCGATCCAGAGCAAAGTTTCCATTGGAGTATGCTGCCACTTTTTTCTCTCTAACCTTGATAATGGTGTGAATCGACCCTTGTGGACTGACGACAAATCTCTGCCAGTGGAGCCTGCTTTTTGTCAACAGCCTGGATTATTCCGTATTTTTTTGTTAATTGAAAGGCATTTTCTCTTGCGCTTGACATCGTTGGCGACACATTACGCATGCGTGCTGCTAGGTTTCTGGCTTGATCGAGGTATGCAGCACACCGCAGCCCTCTCCCGCTTCACATGCTGTGTGTGCTTGCAGCGGCATGGCTTGCGTGGGCTTGCTCCATCACTGCGTTACTCTCTCTCTCTCTCTCTCTCTCTCTCTCTCTCTCTCTCTCTCTCTCTCTCTCTCTCTCTCTCTCTCTCTCTCTCTCTCTCTCTCTCTCTCTCTCTCTCTCTCTCTCTCTCTCTCTCTCTCTCTCTCTCTCTCTCTCTCTCTCTCTCTCTCTCTCTCTCTCTCTTTTCACATTGTTAACGAGTCTTTGTCCCTGCTACAACCGGTTGGGCTCTGATGAGGTCCTGTTATTGCCGATAACTTTAAATAGAAACAAAGAGTAGGTAAAAACGGGGATTTAAAAAATCCCTGTTATTACTGGATCCCTGTTATTACCGGGCCTGTTATATATGGTTTCCACTGTATATTCTTTCACTTCATCACCATCACTATCATCATCATTGTTCGATACAAAAAAGTTTCAAAGTAAGGTCTTGACAATCTTTTCTCATTCTTATAAAGTTTAAAAATACAAAATCGTTTTGCTCTCAAAGGCTTCCTCAAGAATACATTATCAACATCTTTCTTATACCTTTTTTCATCCCTCAACCATTGGGGTCCTCCTTTGTATTATCATCATCATGTTCACCTTCTTCCTTCTACTTTACTGAATATAACGTTTCCCTAGAACAAAAGCAAACCACTAAAGCAATAAGAAGCCGGATCACTAAAGAAATCACGAAAGTGTTGTATGGAAAGATTAAAAAACAACAAAACATATAATACTTAAGTACATTCAATGTTTCAGGGATAACCTTTCTGCAGCAAACACAAACTGAAATCACTGTTGCTGTTACTGAACTGTTGAGTATGTACTTCGTGTATCTGTTTGGTTTGCAGCTTTAATTTATTCTTTTGTGATTTCTCAGGTGATCCAGCCCCCTTGTTGGTTACTACAACTTATTTATGTTTATTTTTGTCTTCAGTCTCCTCCAGAGGTCATGGTATCCCCCTAAAAATAAAAATAAAAATTTTGTAAGTAGAATCTCGAGAAGGAGAGAGAGAGAGAAAGAGAGACTGACAGACAGAAAGAGAGAGAGAGAGAGAGAGAGAGAGAGAGAGAGAGAGAGAGAGAGAGAGAAAACTAAAGTAATCTATCCTTGTTTATTCTTTTCTGATTTCCTAAACCAAGGAGAGTACCGGTGTTTGCAATGAGTCCTGTTTCATCCTCTCAGCCTCGGCTTCCCGAACCATGTGGCCGGCCTCCTTCCGACTAAGGATCATCTCTGTTGTGGCATCTGCGACAAGGAGCTTTGGCTTCGTCCCTGATCCAGAGGAGACAATAAACGTTTATCATGAGTAAAAAGGAGTTTGTTTTTGTTTACAAATAATTAGAGTAAAACAAGATGCTGTAGCTGTCGTTATATATTGCAATTTTTGCTGTATGGTTGTGGTTACCGTTGTTTTTGGTTGTAGTTGTTGTTGTTGTTGTTGGTGTCAGAAGTGATGATTGTTTGGAGCTCAAGAAAAGTAAAATGACAAATCAAAACAATGCACAAAATGAAGAGAGCCCTGTTCTGTCATGTGACCACAGGAATTTATGAGTAAAATCAATGATTTCAGTGGTCAACTTGTATACAGCGCAACTGTCATTATACCTTCAAACATTCGTAAGACCTTTGCCTATGACCTTCACCTTTGAGCCTGAAGTCTGTCATGGGTATTTCATCTCCAGAGACGTCCTCTTCCTCCTCTTCAGCAGTGTGAGTGTCCACTACGGGGCCAAAGAACTGCTTGATCTCTTTGATTCGCTTGGGCTTCACTTTCTGCAAAAGTAACAACATCAAGAACATTTCAACATTTTTAAAACAGTGAGAATCTCACTTTCTAAATATATCGGCAGATGAGACATATTGCTAGAGTAAAGGAAAAAAAGTAACTCCACTGTATTCACACTGTAAGTCAAACAAAGTTTGTCATTTTTCTTATGATGATGATGTCAGTTACTTTACAAATAGGTTAAGGTGATAACAGATGTCTGAAAAAAGACTTCAAAAAGAAAAAGTCTGATGTTCAAGGTAATGTAATTTTGATGCTTTTGACGACAAATATTGTGAAGTTTGGCATTCTACATAATACAATTTAGATCCTTTCGACAGCAGAGTGCTTGGCCAAGCATCAGACCAGCCAGCTGAAAAGAAAAACAGTCCACACTGAAAGAGAAAAATTTGAACAACTTTCAAACCTTTGAAGCTCAGTGTGTTGAACAAGTTCATCAACCAACAATGCCTTAGATATATTGATCCCAGTAAAGTCAGCAACCGCCCTGTTATGTATGACAATTATTATACGTTTATTTTTCTCCATTTTGTTTTATTATGAGAGTCAAGCAGTGACAAAAACAGTGACAAAAACAGAAACAAAGAAAATGGGATCCCACGCGCTGTTTGTCCAAAGACTAAGGGGAGGAAACTCCACAATGATATCCACACACAGTGTTGATAAGTCAGAGAGGGAAGGGAGATAATCATATCAATAATTTTTTTTTTACCTCATCTTTATTTTCCTTCTTTTTCTGTCTGTCCTTCCTGCCAGGTGTACTGACACCCAAGCCCTCTTTTTCAGCCATAACAGTTTCCATGGCAACAGTGTCAGCCTGTAAACCAGACAATGTCCCTGACTCAAGCTTCTCCAGGTTGACCTGGAGTCTTGGAGCAAGGGGCGGAGCTGGTGTGTGGCTGTCCTTGACCTCAGCAGTTTGTGCGGGCTCCTGGGTCAGCTTGAGACCCTTGAGTGCCTGGAATGCATTAAGTCAAGTCAGTATACAAGTGGAAGGTGGCTGGAGGTGCTGTAAAAAAACTAGAGAATGTGTGCTGTATCTTTTCAAAAATCTTTGTAAGGCGAGGACAGAGAAAGGATCTAAAAAGGAAAACAGGTCAGAAGGAGTTTCGGGCATCACAGGACTCTTTGCCCAAAAACACGCCACTAGTTTGCCCAATTAGAAGCCACTAGTTTACACAATTACAAGCCATTAGTTTACTCAATTTTGACCCAATTAAACAGTTACAAGCAACTGTTTTGCAAAAGTACACAACACTGGCTGCATAGTCCCACACCGTAAATCACACAATTACCTCCTCGGGCACAATAGAGCCTGGCCGTCTATTCTGCATGTATGTGTCATAGTCGACTGTCTGACCTCCAATCATTGTGTGAACATGATCACCCAACATGATGGGAGTTCCGGGAGGGGGTAGCATCATCTTCATGGGACTCATTTTCTTCACGATCCCCAATCTGCAGCAACACACATATCACTTTATCAATCAATACATCACTTGACATAGAGCTATAACATTAATGATGAAAGAACCATTTCACAAAAAAATATTAATTGTCAATTGTCAAAAGATAACACTATCAAGGGGAGACATACACACCTGGAAAAATTTTCTAAACAAATGACTTTTAATCACTTTCATGGGATTGTGCAAGAAGTTCACAGGTAAACAGGATGTACTAGGGGCGAATTTATTTAATGTTTCTTAGTGCAGAAGAATTTCTTCATAGTAAATATTAAATTATCAGCCTGAAATTTGGCACACAAGTACAAACCTATATGAACTGGGGATCCAAGTGAGGATTTTGACCTATCTTTAAAACTAAAAAAGGGAGCCCAAAGTCATTGGACCCCCTAGAGTTAGTTGACGAAATTTTGGGGTACATATTACAAAACATTTGAATATTTCCACAAGTTACCAATATTTCCCAATTCCCTCACATAGATCCCCAGAATAGATCTTAAAGCACATGTACGCAAAATTTCAAGCTTCTAGTTTCAGTAGTTTTTGAAAACTCCTTACACCCAGGAGCTCACATATGTCAAAAAGTAGATTTTGAGAAAAACATAAAAAACAGGGATTTTTTAAAGGATTTTTAGAACAATTTGCACTTTTCAAATGCCCTTTTAGGTCATTTAGGGTGTTTTTTCAACAGTTTCTTCATTATGACCCGATAGAACAGACCTCAAAGGATGTTTTTCTGCAAAAAACAAAAGTTAGATAGTTTGAAAAATTGTATTGATATTGTCTGGGATCGCCGACCCAAGTCTTCCCTTAACACCCACTGAGAACTTCTTGCCCTGTGGCAGGATATTAACAAACCATACAAAAAGGCCCTATGAATCCTATCATCCCACACATGTCATATTCATTACATTGCATCATTTCGCGACCTCAGTGCTCCATTTTTTTTAAACATTGAAAATGTGACTTCTTAAGCCCTCTCTTTGTTATGAACTGTTTTCAATGTTATTCAAAATGAAGGTATGACAAGAAAGCACTGAGGACGCAATTTAGTAATGATAACAGAGACAGAAGAAGAGAAAAGATTATTTTAGGGATTCTACTTTTCAATTTCATGTTATAAAAACAAGAAATCTATAGTCAATGCAGAGATCAAGCAAGACCAGATGTCTCTTACTTTCTCCTGAGTAAATATCCCCGCAAACATCTCTGCACTATGAGAACTGGGGAGTGGCGAGCCATGATAGCACTGAGTCTTGCATTGACAGCTCTAAGGACCGACATTTCCTGATCAAATGTGAAATTCTGTCGAACCGAAAAAAATTGAAAGGTCAGGGAATTGATGTCAAATTTTAACATCACTTACACAGTCGAATAGCATCAGAGTCCACAAATTTCGCACTGCCTGGGGCCATTGATACCCATGTGACTATATAAATAAAACACTATAGATGAATAATATAAGACATAAAAATACACAAAACAAGATCTTACCATTTGTGAAAGTTGCAATTTTGCAGATTTATTTAGAAACAACTTTTTAAAATACCCCTCCCCCCCTCCCCTACACACACAACCTTTGTATATGCAAATGTTTCCCAAAAGACATCACAAAAGGTATTGATTCCCTTACCAGTTGAGTCACTGGTGGCCTTTGTGTTTGTTTGTGTGCAAGCATAAGAATAGCTATAATATGGTTCACAGACCACAGACAAGCAAGAGGACAAATAGCATGAACGAACCAGTCTTGGAAGAAAACAGCCAGGATGTAAATATATAACAGTAGCAGACACAAGATTGATGCTAGGGAGTATTTGTAATCATGCTTTGCCTTAACTGATAAAATTACCTCTTAAGAATATAATAGCGGTTTCATGAAAATGAAAGCATACCATGAGAAGGAAAGTACTCATTGCATCACAGGTTTCTTACCTGTTGAGTCTGAGGGCAGAGGTCAATCCTGAAGGGGGGACTTAGGGCTGTGAAGCGTCTGCTGAACACAGCATCTTCAATGATCTCCTCGTCTGATATCACATGATGATCTAAAGCCTTCAAGCTCCATATACTGTTCACCACATGATGTCTGAGTGAAAAGAAGGAAAGATGGAAGGGAGGAATCATGTTAGATTCAAGTGAATAATGACAGAGCGAAGAAAAGGTTATTAACAAAACAGAGAAACAAAAAAGAAAAAGAACAGAGAACAAAGTGAGATGAACCTGAACCAGAAATGGAAAGGCAGCAAAAAGGCAGCAAAGACTTTGATCCGTCTTTGAGACACATCCAAATTTTAACATCACATTCTAACCCAAAATGAAAAAGTTGTATACAAGAGAGAGGTGAAGTTTAGGGAAAGTAAGAGAGAAAAAAGTTACGGATGAAATCACAGCGAGAAGGACTTGACATAAATAGGTCCATTATTCAACCTCAGGAATCTTATTCAACCGACCACTGGCCACAGGGACTTTTCTCTTTTTCTTTAACAGTTAGTTAAAGATTATTCCTTAAATACAGAACCATGTAAAGCAATACCTGAATTACTTTCACAAGAAGACACATACCAGTTGAATCTCTTTCTTTGAAAAGTAAAACCTGAAAATTTCTAAATCAAATATTAGGACTTCGTGTTAGACAGGAATGTAACATGAGCACTGAATGTTCAAGACAAAACCTCTGTCGTCAAACTGTAGTTTATGCTTGAACACTTGGACACAGGTTAAGTCATTTAAATATTAATTAATTCAAACTGACCGGTAGTTTTTCTTGAGACTCAGAGGTGTGTCAAATAAAGTGAGGATGGTCAAGGCTGGCGCAGAGCCCAGGATCTGTAGAGTCTCAAACTTGCCAAGCGGGTTGTCATGGAGATGAAGTGATTGCAGCTTACGGAGACTGCTCCAGAATACAGGGGCTGGGAGAGAGGACAGCTGGAGAGCACATAGTTAAAGGTGGGCCGGTCAATTTGTGTAGGAAGGCGCTTTATATGAACATGAAATATATATGGGAATAAGTTTTGTGAGAGTTTGTATGGATGTGTGAGAGAAGAGTATGTTCAGAGGGAGAGAGAAAGACAAGTAGAGAGTGTATGTGTGTGTTGGTTTACTGGCCTGTGTGTATGAGCATGGTTTGGGGGTAAAAACATGTAAAATGTGTGTTTTACACTCCATTAACATAAGTTTGATCTTTTAAGAGATGGACAGTTTCAACCCAGCCTTTCAGGGACTATTGGACCCAGAGGGATATAACATCTCAGCAGACAGATGAAAATATTTAATTAAACAAACTCATGACTTCTGCAAGTGACGGCGAAGCACCTAACAGTTTCACCACAGGTGCTGGTGTTTGGGAGGACTGGGGGGTGGGGGGGTGATTGCAATTCAAAATGAAAAAGACGAAACAGGGTTCATGAAGGTATGAAGTATGAAGGTATTGACATACGAACAAAACACAGGGAGAGAAACTGATAAGTAATAATGCATAGCATTTGTATGAAGGGGTTTTCAAACAAAATGAGACTGTTCATTCAACTTGAAAACGAAGCATCAGATTTAATCTTTCACCTCAAAGTAATCTCCCTGTGGAGTGACACTCTTTTGTAATTGATATAGCCATCTATGAAAAGCTGCTTCGTAGTCATTTTTGGGAATACCTTTTAGGCACTGTTCTATAGCTCGAGAGAGGATTTTGTTTGTGGAATAATGGCATCCTGTAAGTTGTTTCATAAGCCTTGGAAACAGGAAAAGTGATAAGGAGCATGATCAGGAAATTATGAAGGGCGATCTATAACTTTGGAACCATTTTCTTTTTTAAAAACTTTGGTCTTGCTAGATTTGTAGAACATTTTGACCTCTTGCTCAAGGGAAGCTTACCCTGACGAGGTCAACAGAAGTCACTATAGATGTGCTCTTATTTTTGACAGTGAATTTGACCCTACGCTTGAAGAAAATAGCGTGCCTAACCTTCCTTGTGGACTTGTTTCATTTTGCAATTTTCTGGGGTTTTGATCCTTCAGCGCACCACAACATTTTTGGGACTTAGTTAAAGAAATGCACCTATGTTTCATCACCAATGAAGATCTCAACCAGGTGCCAGGCAGCCCATAAGTATTTCAAAGTTTTGGTGGCATATACTAACTGTACCCCGTTCTTTTCACTGACCAAAATATAGGGTATCCATCAAGCCAAGAGCTTTCTGAGCCCCAAATCGTAAGTAACACTCTGTGCACTGACGACGAATGAAACCCCATTCTTCTGCTATCTCATGAAGGCTCACTCGACTGTCTTTGTCAGTAAAAACTATGATAGTACCAACCATGCGGGGAGTTGTTTTTGTTTGTGGGGTGCTTTTGCCCTTAATTTAGAAAATTCCAGATTCTCATTCTCCTCTTTTAAGATGCTGTACAAAGTAAAAAATTATTGCTCTGAAGACTGAAGTGCTCAATACATCTGTCTGTAAAATTTCATAGATTTCTGCCGCTTCTTTACAACCAACTGCTGTAAAAACCTTTAGCATGACCAAATTTCACCTTATCTTCTCCATGTTCATTTTGCCTAGTGTCATTTACTTTGTCACTTTACAAAGTTGCAATTATCTTTCAAAAGGACCAAACTGGGTGAAACTTAAAAGACAGAATCAGAAGACGACAAAAATTTATAAAACATTGCATTTGTTAAGACGGTCCAATTTAGTGTTTGAGAAATCCTATTTTCTCATTTTGTCTGAAAAACCCCTCCTTCAATGCAAATTCCCGCTCAACAGCAAGCTCTTTACAACCTAAGAAGAAAAGGAGTGGGAAAAAAGTGTGGAATCAGATGAAAGAATCAACTGTGCAATTAAAAAACTACTTGTTCTCAGACTACTTTTAATTTCAGTCTTTGAATGTAAGTATTGCATTCACACTATCTCTCCTTTTTCTCTATTTCTTACATGCATCACTACTCTTCAATTTCAACGTGAGATTACCTGATTGGAGTGCAGGTCAAGTTTAATGAGATGTCTGCAAGCCACAAGCGCATCAATTTTTGTGAGGTAATTGTTTGCCAACAGACATATGGTCAGCCTGGTACATGCACCAATGTCTCCGAGAACTCTGAGATGGACCCCATCGAGGCGAACAAGTTTGATGTCATCTACATCTACTTTAGACTTGGGATTTAAAGAGCCACAGTGAGACTGGATGACTTCCAACGTTGGATTCAAAAAGTATCTGTCACCAAGATGAAATGTCTTAAGATTATTCAAATGACAAAACAAAAATAGATACAGAAAAAATCACAGTTAAAGTGACATCATCAAGATATACAGTAGGGTCCGCTTAAACCAAACACGCTTATTCTAAAAACAATGGTAAACCGAAAAGAAATAAAATACCCCAATTTTTTTTCCTTCTATTTGAGCAACCTCTCTTAACCGAATAACCATCTAGACCAACGAAAATCCCGAGGTCTCACAGATTTTTGTTTAAGCGGACTCCACTGGATTTAAAAAAGATGCTCCCTGCATTTCTTGTAACATGAATTAAGAATTCAAATGTGACAAGCACCCGAAAGTCAACAAGTGTGGTGAGAACTATAGGCAGTCACAATTACTGTGGGGTGGTAGATAGAAAAGTTGACAACAAATTAGTTTTCATCTCTCAGTTTCTGCCTTTGGGAAGATTTTGCTGTTTCGATGAGCCACCTGTATACAGGCAGATGCAAAAAATGTAAGAGACCCACAAAGGCAACGGATGTCTCTTGCGCTATCATATTATGTTGCTGACAGAAAAAGATAGCCTACAAGTAAATCAGGGCATAGAATAGGTAAGAAAAAGAATCAGTTGGAGGAAGTTGGTAGACGGTGACACCTTGCAGATAACAGACAGTTAGAAGTCAGTGAAAAGCTGCATCTTAGCCTACAGAAAAAAAATTAACCTTAATAGACTAGGTTGCATTTTGGGCTACACCTTACAGATAATGAACATTAATGTTTCAGTAAAGCACAAGATATATCTTGATTAACAGGATTGTGTTTAGGGAGAGGAAGAAGACAAACTAATTTCATACATTTAAAAAAAATTCATTGGTCTTACCCTGACTGTTCAGCTTGCCGTACAGCTTCTGCTTCTCTCTGTTTGTAGAATTTACTGAGCAGAGCTTGTTTGTCCTGCTGCTTATTCTCTGAGATCTGGGCAAACTTTGCCCAATCCGGGATGCTCACCATTGTTATGCCTCGGGCTTAGTACCTGAAATTTGTAGGCGTTTAAGATGCCTGATGACCATGTTTTCTCAAATACATTCTGGAACACTGGAATAAGGGAGTATAAGGTACACAAATTTCCTCAAGAAATGGCTTCAGTAAAGACAATAGAAATAAGACTCTATGCATATTAAAACCTTATATTATGATAAAAGCATATGAGAAAATTCTGCACTGTTTTCAGTACAATGAGGACCAGTAAAAACAGCTGCAGAAGGTGAGATATAGTCTCCTATACTCACTACTTGCTCTCCTCGAGGGCTAGGACTTGAAACCAATTTTTTTTTTTTCTATAACTGCTCCCCCTTAGTTATCCCATCCCTTGCTTTTCCTTCCTTTCATGGCCCTCAAAATATTCAAAAAGCTACTTAGATTTATTGAAATACCGTTTTATACATTTAGTATTCCATCGCTAGATCTCTGGATCTACTCTCCAAATTAAAACCAACTTTTGGCTATAACTGATCCTGGACACCATAAAGACAACTACTGATTAACCTATTTTATATTCCATTTATGTAACAAAGGTTTCATTAATTCTCTGCAATTTCCGCAAGCCGTGCGGGTTGTCATTTCTCTGAGCCTCACATTTATTTACATTCAAATCACTTTCTGTTTCCCTTTCTATTCTAAGCCTAACAGCCTGTCTCGAACTTGAAAAGTAAACAACTTGAAAGGTCTATGTCTTCGCTACCTTTTCCAAACTGTAATACCTTTGAGAGCCATAAATTCGAAAAAGTTTCCCTGATTATTTGAGAGAGAGTGAATATTCCAACTCGCAACAACGGGAAATGCTTAGATCTTCACATCATATGATGAAAATGGAGGTAACTCGCCGCCATTTGTAAATGTCCCCATAGCGACCACGGGACGCAACTCTTATTACCTCACTAAAATACCCCTCATTTGTGAAAGAAAGTTCAATGAAGCAATAATATACTGATTTCCACGCAGAAAAGAATTGATTGAAGATGATGGCCGCGAAATGGCAGAAACTTCAGTGCTCAAGATCCCAGTTGTGTCTCGAAACTGTGCTTACCGGAGGCCAGTCATTTAGGTATCCGATTATACGGGGGGGAAAAAAATTCTACCCATAATTTTTTTTTGCGCTTTTTCGTTAGCCTAGATCTATTAGATCTAGATCTAGATCTAGATCTAAATCTAGATATCTAGATTCTAGATCTGGTTCCCACCCCGCAATTGTTATTCGCCGATTTTGGCCACAAGAGTAGGGGGGTTTCATGTTTTTAAAAAATAGAATTGATGTTCCTTGATACAGTGAAGTCCACTTATAACGAGTCCGGAAAAAACGAGAAGTCTGTTATAAAGACACTATTCTAAAAACCCGGGTTTTTTTCTCCTCTTTACCTTTGTAAATAAAATACTGCTATAGCGCTATCAGACAAACATTCGAGTCGGTTATATAGCGAATATTGCTGCTGCTGTGCACAGTGCATAGGCCAATTTTACATATATGCAAAACCTCGCCAGTTGAGAAAACTTGTTGGTGATCTAGCCAAACAAAAAATAGGAGAGCCCATGTGTGTCAACAATAAAGACCGGAGCGACTGAGTTGGGAGGGTGTGTCATGCCCAGACAAGCAGATCTAACGCATCGCATGATAGGCCAGCGTAAGCCTAGCTTAGATTATCAAGGTTTACCATGCCTCTCACTTCTCCGATGCGGGAATGGAGAGGTCACAGCAATGTGATGGATGGAGCAAATGTGTGACGTGGGCAAGCAGACGGAATATACACCACAGGGTGGGGTGGGGTGGGGGAAAACACAGCAGGCGAGTTGGCCCAGAGCCCTTTCTTTCTGATTGCCAACGCCAAGCTGTCAGTCAACATCGTTAAATCTAGCGGTAGAGAAAGAAACCTGATTCGATTTTTTATCAAGTAAGACCTAGAGGTCATCTTGAAAAAAAAAAATCATCACCAGGGGAGATGGCAAAAGGAAATAAACAGAACACCAAACTCATAGATTAGGCCTACTTTAAAGTTTCCCTTGAATTTTTTACTGGATCCCGTATAGCGAGAATCCTGCTATAACGAACATAAAGCTCCAGTCCCCTCCCTCTCGTTATAACAGGATTCCACTGTATGAAGTTTTATCAATTTCTTTGAAAACTCATTTTTATTCTCTCTTTGCCTATGTAAAGATGAGAAAAAATGTCTATTTTTAGATACCAAGTAAGTAGGTCGCACATGCAAATGAAACATCATCTACATAATTATTGTATCAAACCAAAGTCCACTCACTCAATACAATAAAACCTTTCCATTGATATACAACACACTTATTGTGTTGACCTTCTCAGGAATTTGTAGGATTTTAAAGTCTATGTCCACCCTCTTTACCTTAAAAAACTGACCCAAACCCAAGAACTGTTGAGTTATAATACTGTATAAAAACAGGTTGTACAAGTGCGCGGAAACCCGTTGGAAAGCGAGGATGTTGACGCTCATCAGAGAATAGGGGGAATAAGGAAAGTGAAATTTCCTATTCAAAGACCTGGAATCTGAGTATGTCATGAATGGGTCAGATCTAGACAACGGCCCCAATGAATGACACTGAGACTGATGAGACTGCTTTGCTGGCTAATGAGTTTAGCTGGAAAGCAGGGCTGACATTAAATTAGGAATTCCCCTGGTAACGAAAGGGCTCCATACGCAGGTCAAAGTTTTAGGTAAAAACCTAACTCAACTAAATAGAACAAGGTCTAGGGATGGCATTATTTTCACAATATTTTGATTAGAATTAGACAATCTCTCTCTCTCTCTCTCTCTCTCTCTCTCTTGCTCTCTCTCTCTCATGCTCTCTCTCTCTCTCTCTCTCTAATTCACACTCTCTCTCTCCCTCTCTCAAATCTTGACAATTATTTCTGTATACAGTCCGTGCTGGCTTTAAGCACGCCGGCATAAAGCACACTTCGAACTCAAGCACGCTAAACGGCTCTTACCGTTATATATATAAATTACATGCCTTTAAGCACCGTAACTTCGGCTTCAGGCATGCTTCATTTACAAGACAGTCGATACTTTCATGATGACCCTTCGAAGTTCGAACACAGTCTACACCGCAGCAGTGGAGTGTGTTAAGAGAAACACAAGAACGCAAGTGATGGACGCGCACACACACACACACACACACACACACACACACACTCACACGGGCGGAGAGGAAGGCAGAGTGATGCACACAGCCGGGCGCGCGGACATAGGATCTAGCCTTGGGCAAAGCTACACACTGACCAAAAAAAATACAAAGAGAGTCCGGGAGACGAGAAAGGGAGGCTGGCTTGCGATTTCACCTTTGACCCTCGCTCGCTATCCATTAATCCTGATTGTGTATCGTGCGTGAGTTGGGATGAAGACGGTGGTATAGTATGAATGTGGCACAGCGGGCAGTGGTACGCACAGGCAGTGTGTAGACCTAGTGTGCTGTATCTTGATTGGCCGTCTAAATTAAGTTTTCATTTCCCTTTCGACCACACAAAAAAATGACAATGAACAAACAAAAATTACCATGGTGGGTAAAAATAAATGTGCTCACTTTTGAGGGATCACTATAGGCCGAGATCTACTTTTACAAACAAAGGGAAATTTTCTACATGAAAATCTCTGGATTATGCCTACTTCGCACTCAAGCACGCTTCGGCATTAAGCACGCTTAAACTTTCTCCCAATGACCGTGCTTAAAGCCGGCATGGACTGTACTGTACTGTATGTATTTATATATGAAATGGTATCGATATTACTGAATGTCCATTTACACTTTAAATAGATAAGATAGAGATAAGTCTTTATTTTCCAGATCCTGGCACATTGATTTGTTGTTTCACCACATGCACACAGTCACACGCACGCACACACACACACACACACACACACAAACACACAAACAAACATTCACACTCCCATACGCACACACATGTGCACACCCATTCTATACACACACTCTTCCCTCACACATCCTCTCTTCAACACACGTCTGTGCATGTAACCATAATAATATAATAGTATGCTTACACTCACAAACAGGCTCACAGTCATAATATAAATGAACAGAAATATAAAAAATAATCATTTTAAGCTAGAAACGTTTAATATTCTTTAGCTCACTTAAACATATATTTGCTTTTTGACCAAGTACTTCCCTCAACACGTTTTTACAGGTGGAAGAGAAATGATCGAGATGAGTGGATGGGTGTTATTTCTGGATGTGTATGGCGTCTCAAACAGACAGACGAACACTTGCTGTATCAAGTGTACAGTCCAGAAGACAAGGCGAAAGTGAAAGTAGATAAAGCGCCAATAAAAAGTGATAAACTGACCCTTTGTCCTCCTTTTGCTAAGGAATCCCTAAAAGCTTCAAGAAGAAATGGGAAGAGGAGGCAGGTAAAAGATGAACCATCTGCAGGTTTTGACACCCCTGTCATGAAGAGAGTTAAAGAAGAGGCATCAGAGAATGATGAAATTGTAAGTCAAAGTTTAGGCCTAAATGGGTTCACTAAATTGACTGATTTAATAAATACTGATGATGATGACTCTTCCACTAAAGCTATATTGAGAGATTATTTCCAGCTGGACACTAATCTTGACCAACTGTACTCTGAATGGTCCTCTAAGGATGATCATTTCAAAAAAGTTGCAAGCAGCTTCCGAGGCATTCGGATCTTGAGACAGGACCCTGTGGAGAACCTTGTGAGTTTTGTGTGCTCCTCCAACAACCACATCTCCCGCATCTCCAGCATGGTGGAAAAACTTTGCACCCACTACGGACATCTAATCACTAGTGTAAGTTGATTTCATTCGTTGTCAATGGAAAGGATTTCTAATTTGTATTGTGGTGAAAGCAGTTTTTCTTGGTTTTGATAAATTTTCTACCAAGAAAAGCTTTTTAAAATTAAGAATGTATGCATTAGGCTTTATTTGGGGGATGAGAAGAACGTTCGTGCAAATGTTTGTTTTATTGTGTGTACTAAAATTTAATCACTTTTGAGGGGTATCATTTCTTTTTAGGTCATCAGTTTGTCGGGAAGTGTTATGCTTGATTTTATTTGTGTGTAATAGAGTGTAAAGGGCGAAGAGCTTGCTGTCGAGCGAGGGTATGCGCTATACAAATTCTATTTATTATTAGTAGATCTAGTAGTTGTTGTATTATCTCAAGTATAAGTAATTTAATATGGGAGGATGATATTCTTGCAATAGGATTGGAGCTTTGTCATATCTGTCTCTAGGCACAGGAATATTAATAGATAAATTGAAACTCCAGAACTTTAAAAGTCCATGGACCCTTTCGGATTCCCCAACTGCCATTTTGTGTGTACTGGTCTTCCATTATATCAGTGTACTGATACCGAGTTAGTAATAACTACCATATCTTGGGGTAAAGAATTCAATTCAATCTTGTGTTTCATTTATCGCAGGTTGATGAAAAGGACTTCTATGCCTTCCCTCCTCTCTCTGCCCTGACGGGAGATGAAGTTGAGACCACACTTCGCCAGCTTGGCTTTGGCTACCGAGCAAAGTTCATCTCCAGCATTGCCAAGACTGTGTGTGAGGAGAAGGACCCTGGTTGGCTGAGCTCGCTGAGGGGAAGGAGTTACACTGAAGCAAAGACGGAGCTGATGACTCTGATGGGAGTTGGAGCTAAGGTCAGGAAGTGCTTGTAGCTGAGTAGTGAAGTATATACTACCGAATGCAGTTCAGTGAACCTAGGATACGAAGAGAGATTGTCAGGACCAGCCCCTGATCCCTGTTGAATTCAAGGTCTTGTTAGATTCAAAGACAGTCCAGTAGTAACGACAGAGGGGACTTAACTCTTTAAACCCTGAGTTTTTTCCACCGTTTCCAGGAGTTTTTCTACGATCACCTAAACCTGGTGCACTAAATGTCTCATTATAACCCCAAAAGCTTGCCTCCAACTTTTAAACTTTAGAAACAAAGGCTTAGTCATTATTAAAAAACTAATCGGGATCGGGAATAGTTCAGAAAAACAAGCAAAAACTAACACTAAATGAAACGAAACAGTTATCACTAGTATTGGATGCTCCCAGCGTCCGATGGGGAACAGGGTTAGTACCGCCTGACGCTCTCAGTGTCCAATGGGATTCAACCCACTCACTACCAGCCATTTTCGGGGTCGCTATTCCCTGTGTACTAGCCATTTTAATGGTAGTTTTTAAAAATCGATGTGCTTTTGCTAATTAACATTAGAGACTTGAAATGTGGAACATTGTTTTTGAACATACGGTAATAAAGATTGCCGTGATGAAATTACAGCTCTGTTCTATACTTACTTTGTTTTCACAAGTTTTCTAAAATTGGTCAAAAACTGCTTTCCCTTTGCCTTTCTTACTCGCGCCCTTCCCCACTACTGCAACCCTAGTAGATCTAGGTTTTGGGGCCCTACTAAACCTTATTCTTCTTTACAAATTTCCCCACCCAGTTTGTCATAACAATCTTCGACCAGTTCATCGGTTTCTGAGTCACTTTCGTCGTCAAATGTTCGAAAACGGTCAAAGACTAGTGATCTGCCTTGTGGGAAACGAAATAGTAAATTCGGTTCTAATGGCGCTTGTCGTTAAAGTCAATGACTCTACTTGCGCTCGTCCGATTTCGGTTTCGTTTCTTTCTAATGAAAGATATTTGAATGAGCTACGAAAAAGACGGACCAGTACCGCAAACGGTGGGGTTTTAATGTGAGAAAAAAATTCCAAAGTGCAATCCGCGAGGGTGTGGTATCAAAACGTGGGAGCTACTTTACCGGCAACTGTTGTGGTAGTGCTAAGTGAGTGAGTTAAAGACTTAACCAGGGTGGCATAAAGGGGATCCTAATTGAGCCATTACCTTCCTTGATGATGGTGACACCACCAGTTCACTTCTGCTATTGCTATATGTGGCTCTTGTCTTCTTTGCTGGTTTTTGGGGGGGATAGCGGGGATATGTCTGTTACACACCTGCAATTCTGCTAAAGTTCTACGCACGGAACACTTGTGCCCACTCATTGAATCCAAGGTTGCTCATTTATGTGTTCATGGAATCCAAGTTATTTTGTAAATGAAACAGGGAATTTGTCTCCTTTCGTTGAATCTGAATTTCACTGTACAGACTAGATTATCGACCTTTCATTTCCAGTTTTTCTGAGTACAAAAAAAAATTGTCTTTAAAAATTATGCAGTCTAGTCTATGCAGCAAAGGCTGGAGATTGCAGGTTCTGCTGTTCTTTTTGCTGAGTAGTCTAATGGCAAGGTCTTGAGGTATTGAATCTCAGTTTCATTAATTACTCTGTGCGTGTTGGCCTAATTGGCTAATTGGTGCCATGCTGGACATGGTGCAGTTGATTCCCCTTTAGGGTGTTTTGAACTTTCATTGTTTCGTGAGTTTTCAACTCTTTCTGTTCTGGCTCATTCACAATCGAGATGGAATAGAAATTCAGAGACCCACCTCATAAATAAGGATACCATGTTGAAAGGGACAGTAAACCTGTACAATTTTCAGTCACACTTAGTAAATCAAAATAATTACTGTAACCATCACAGGCAGCTTTAATGCTGTCTCTTCTCTAACACATAGTCAAACATGTGAGCATACCCAACTGTACTTTTGAAAATAGGCCCGGTTGTGAATCTTTTCTCTTTTTTTTTTCCCTCAAAATTTTAAATGTGCGTCCTGTCCCTCCAGAGGACAATACGGCTGATTTAGTTCCAGAAAATAGACCCAACTCAAATAACTGAGTTTAATCTGATCTTTTGCCTGCCCAATGCCCTCAGGTGGCTGACTGCGTGTGCCTTATGTCGCTGGACAAGCCCGGAGCTGTTCCTGTGGACACGCATGTATGGCAGATCACTCTACGACATTACATGGCCTCTCTACAGAAGGCAAAGTCTCTTACTGAACGTATCTACAACCAGATTGGTGAGTTTGTGCCGAGACCAGGAATATTAGGACAGATCCAAGGGCAAGTAGATATGTTGGCTTTCTTTTGACTGTGATAGATTCTTGTTTGTTTGAGTTTAAGATATATGCACATTGGCACTATAACGGTCGTTCAGTAAAAGGGAAAGTGAGACATACAGACAAATATAAAAGCGGGACAGTAAAAAGGTAAGGGCCTACCAGTGGCATTCTCCAACCACAGGCTGATAGATTCTAATTGTGTTTCTTCACAAACGTGCTGCTTAGGGAAGCTTCAAACACTGAGATCCGACACTACAGTAAATAGAAAGGCGATGAATTGAGGAAAGGGAGAGCATAATGTTGTTCCCAGTTCTTCATATGACAATGCTTGACATTCTAACAATTCAATAGTCAACAGGAGGGGGGTCCATCAAAGTAAAGTGCCTCCAAGTTGCCTAAAAAAAAACATTTTGTCTTTTTTTTTGCATGATGCTTTATATTCTGAACCTTAGACTTAGACCTGACGCAGCAAGTCAGCAAGGGAGATGGAGAGAGGAATGTGGTTACCTCTCTTTATGTTTCCATCCACCTCCAAGATGTGTGAGCATTTTACTGACCATGACCTAGTTGTTCGCCTACTCATTTCGACTGGGAGAGGGACTCATGACGAGGCAATGGCCTCTAGAGTGTGATGTGAAAAACTGTGGCAGGGTTAGGCATTGGGCCAAATTACATTCACTGTGTCTAGAATTGCTTTTACTTTTGCGCAAAGCTGAGGATGATATATGTAGAATGTCGAATTCACGGGGGAGGGGGGG